GTCGGGGACCCATGTTCCGCCCCCCCCCCCAATCATGAAAACAAACTTCCAGTTCATGGATGGGTCTAGTGGGATGGGACGTCCGAAATGCAGGAAAATTGGATCCTGAAACTTCCCGTAGGCTAGGTGTAAGGAATGTGTGTGACTACTGCAGGAGTAAGGATGACTTGGGTTCTTTCTCTTTCTTCCTTCCTTCCTTTCTTTCTATGCGATGTGTTTTAAAAGTCTATAGAGGATTAAATGAAGAGGACTTCTGATACTTCTGCCTTTACTAGCGGAATCACTGTTCAGTGTACTGGAAAGTTCTGCAGCTTTCACCACGGAACCATCAATGTCCCTGCCCCCCTCTCCTATTCCTGAAAAACCTGCACTCCTGGGATCATAAGCATTCCTTCCCTCCCCCCACCCCCTCCGCTGCCACCGGGTCTTCTAATAGTTATCCCAGAGGTACAGATTACTCAGAGGAGGATCTTGACATTTAGGCTGCACTTTTTGTTGTTGTTGTTGTTATAATCCCACTGATTCAGTTTTAAAGTTAAATTAATAGAGAAGTTAAGATGTTAGTATTTTGACTAAAAAATACAGTATTTTAAGATTACAGCTTAGTAACAAGTGGGAAGGGGTTGAATTGATAAAATACATTATATACATGTAAAATTTGTCATAATGAACTCTATTAACTTGTACAGAAAAATCTTAATTTCCTATATACCTCATTAGTATGAATAATTAGAAGTCTTTTAAATTGTGAGGAATTAATACAATTTTCCATAATGGGTTTCATTTCTGTTACAGATAAGAACTTCAGTATTTTGTTGATGTGGAGGTAGGTATTAGATTGTTTAATTAAGTTAGGAGTTAAGGGAGATTGCAAGGTTGTATTTCTGCAGTTGAGTGTATGTTTTTCGATATTGAAAAGATTTTCTAACTTGGTTCCAGTGGCTCACACTTGTAATCCTAGCTACTCGGAAGGTTGAGATCTGAAGATCTCAGTGCAAATCCAGTCACAGAAATGTCTGTGAGACTTTTTTTTTTTTGTCTGTTATGGGGCTTGATCTCTGGGCCTGGGCACTGTCCCTCAGCTCTTCAGCTCAAGCCTAGTGCTCTACCACTTGAGCCACAGCGCCACTTGCGTCTTTTTCTGTTTATGTGGTGCTGAGTAATCAAACCCAGGGCCTGATGCTTGGGAAGCAAGCACTCTACCACTGAGCCACCTTCCCAGCCAAGTGAGACTCTTTCATCTCCAATGAACTACCTAAAAAGCTGGAAGTGGAGCTGCTCAAGTGTTTCAGCACTGTCCTTGAACACGAAAACTCCGGGACAGTGCTCAGGCCCTGAGTTCAAGCCCCAGGAATAGAAAATAAACTTTTTTTTATACTGGTATTGAAATTATTTAAAGAAAACAAAAACAAAAACTCAATAATTCCATTCAGGATTTATTGTTTCCTTTAGTTAATATAGAGTGTATCATAGTTAATATGTAGTCTGTCATAAAGTAACGAGTCAAACTAGTTACTATGTTTTAAGTTTTGCAAAGAATTGTAGAAACTGTTTTTTCCTAAACATTTGTTTGTAATACATTAAAAAATATAGCTGATTAATTTCTGAGATAGAATAATATTTACTTGTAGCATCTTATAAATGTGTTTAATGTTTATTGTATAGTAATTACTGTAGCCTAGTACTTGATGCAAACAATTGTGTATCAGGTTTTCTTTGAAGTCATGTTAACTTCTTTTCTATCTCTTCAGACATAGGGTACTTCAACTTCCCAGTGTTTCAGAAGGGAGTTTTTTATTGAAACTGGAAGACCAAAATAATTACAAGCATGTTGTGCTGGGGAAATGCATCTTTTGGACAACTAGGTTTGGGTGGAATTGATGAAGAAATTGTACTAGAGCCCAGAAAAAGTGACTTTTTTATAAATAAAAAAATCCGAGATGTAGGATGTGGGCTCAGACATACAGTCTTTGTTCTGGATGATGGAACTGTGTACACATGTGGATGTAATGATCTAGGACAGCTAGGTCATGAAAAATCCAGGAAGAAACCAGGTAAGTCAAAAAAATTATCTTACCATTTCTAATAATTATATCATTAAAAAATTGGAAATGATGTATAATTTCTGAACACCTAAGCCTATAATCCTTTATCAGGCTTACAAACAAAGTACGAGTAAAATGTATCTTTGACATTTTGCATGCTTTTAGCATTTTTGTCTTAAAAAAATCTACCACTGTTGTATTTTCTTACTGCATGACATTGTAAAACAATAGACAAAAGTAGCCTTCTTTGATAATCTTTGATATAGAGTGTAAAGGTATAGAGCCACCTTGGACAGATTTTTAAATTCCTAGTTTATTCTGTGATGTTTCTGTTCAGTGAAGAGAGGGGGGCTGAATGAAAGCATTCTTTTTCAGTTACTTACCTAAAATATATATGTATATATGCATTCTTTATATATATTATATGTGATATAATATAAAATATAATGTATACTATTTATTACTTATTTATTATTTTTGCTAGTCCTGGGGTTTGAACTCAGGACCTCAGTGCAGGCCCTGAGCTGCTTTTGCTCAAGGCTAGCGCTCTACCACTTGAGCCACAGTGCCACTTCTGACTGTTTTGGAGGTAATAGTCTCATGACCTTTCCTGCCTGGGTGGCTTTGAACCACGATCCTCAAATCTCAGCCTCCTGAGTAATTAGGATTACAGGCCTGAGCCACCAGCACCCAGCCTAAAATATATTTTGATTCCATTATTTATCACTATCATATTTTAGATATACAACTTTATTTGGATTAGTTGGAAATGCCTTTTATTTCTCTCTTCCACTTTTGACTGTCCATGTTAGCTATAAAAGATTTTGTGAATGTGGGTTTTGTAGCAGTAGTTATAATAAGCAAAATAAAATTTTCAGGTAATAAGAATTTTGAGGAATTTGGTCACATTTCATGTTCTGTTTTCCTATATGTTTTAAAATTAAATACTACTTTCAGAAATATTGCTGTTTTTGCTTTCAGTTATGTTAACTAAAAATTGTTATTAAGCCGTAAATTCAGATTAAGACCACATGTATGGAGTTTCTTTTAACTTTTAACAGTAATGGTAGTTAAGTATTTCTTGTAGCAATTATTTTTCTTTATCAGTTTATTTATATAAGTGGTTTCTATTATTACTCTACTTTTTTGAAATTAATGTAGGTATTGAAGTTTCATTTTTGTGTGCATCTCACTACCCTTTTTTTCTAATTTACAAATACTGTAGAATTCATATCCTTTCTTTGTAGTTAGGGTCTTAATCTCTTCTGCCTTAATTTATAATTTTTGTTGGATGAATGATAATGATCCAATACGTTTAATTATTGTACAACTCAAGATAAATAGCAGCTTTCTTGTACTGTACCTCAAAGGATAGTTTATGGAATTTACTAGATTTTTATAATCTCAGGTATTGAGGTACTCAGGATGCTAATATATTTGTAATATATTTGTTTATTGTCTTTATGTTTGAGGCCTTCCTTTACATTTTTGCTTAGGTTTGGAATGTTGTTTCAAATTGAGATTTTGAAGGTGAGGTTTTTACTTTTCTTTGTACATAGGGTGCTCTATAGGCCAAACATCTGTGCATTGCTTTAGAAAGGTCAAGTAAATAGTAAAAGGCCAGCACATAGAAATTGTCAGTATACTGACTGACTGTAATGGTATGACTACTGTTTGGAATAGCTTTTTCTTTCTTTCTTTCCTTTTTTTTTGGTGCTTGTTCTGGGGCTTGAATTCATGGCCTGGCACTATCCTTGAGTTTTTTTTCTTTTGTTTTTTGTTTTGCTCAAAGCTAGTGTCTTCCCACTTGGGCCTCAGCTTTATTTACTTCCAGCCTTTTGTACCAAAAATTGGAGATGAGGGGCTGGGAAGGTGGCTCAGTGGTAGAACACTTGCCTTGCATGCTCAAGGCCCTGGGTTCGGTTCCTCAGCACCACATAAGCAAAAAAGAAAAAAAAGCCGGAAGTGGTGCTGTGGCTCAAATGGTAGAGCGCTAGCCTTGAGCTGAAGAGCTGAGGGACAGCGCCCAGGCCCAGAGTTCAGGCCCCACGACCGGACCCAAAAAAAAAAATTGGAGATGAGTTTGACAGACTTCCTTGTCCAGGCTGGCTTTGAACTAAAATCCTCAGATATCAGCCATATGAGTAGCTAGGATTATAGGCAAGCTAGCAGTGCCTGGCTTTGAAGTACCTTTTAACTATACCTTAGATTCAAAAAACCTAACTAGCCCCTTTGTGGTATAGTTAACATTGTGATAATTCCATTGTGATCCTGGAAACATTACTTACTAATTTAAAGTTGGGAGGGTAGGTTTTCTCTTTATCCCTTTTTGGGGATTTAGGGGCCAACTCATTTTGTCTAAAGTATGTACCACAGTCTATGGAATAGGAAAATAAAAAAAATTGTCACATAAATTTAGATTTTGGGTTGGGAATTAAGGTATAAGTAAAACAAATGGAAAGAATTAAAATTTTATATGATATATCCATGAAAATTAAATAATGGGAAATATCATTGTGGAATTAAAGCAAGATTTCTGGGTATAAAAATAATGACTTAAATTTAATTTTAAACATTCTTTTAGTATTCAAATAAGTTGCCAGGAAGTAGGAAGTAGGTTTGGGGCTGGATTGCTTACTTTTATATATGTATTTATGTGTGTATTTGTGTTTTTGATCCTGAGGAAAACCTTTTATTATCAGAAATCTTAGTTCCATGATACAGAAAAGTAGGAAAAACTAGGGTCTTCATCTTTAACTTCCATCTTGATTTAAGGTGCTTGAATGATGATGTTTGTGTGTGTGTGTGTGTGTGTACCTGCCCTGGGACTTGAACTCAGGGCCTGGGCACTGTCCTTGAGCTTTTTTGTTCAAAGATATGGATCTACCACTTGAGCCACAGCGCCAACTTCTGCTTTTTGTTTTTGTTTGTTTTGGTGGCTAATTGGAAATAAGAGTTTCATGAACTTTCCTGCCTGCACTGGCTTTGAACTTGATCCTCAGGTCTCAGCCTCCTGAGTAGCTAAGATTAATGTACAGGCATGAGTCTGCACTGCTGGCACTCTGTCATTTGAGTCACACTTACATTGTGTGTGTGTGTATGTGTGTGTGTCCTCCCGTGTTTGGATTATTTGAGGATAAGAGTCTCTTGGATTTGTTTGCTTGTACTTACAGCTTTTAAACCTCCATTCTCAGATCTAAGACCAATGAGTAGCTTTGAGATGATAGGACTGAGCTAGAGGCGTTGAATCATGATAATTCACTAGAGGACCTGGCCTTGTATATAGTAAATAGATTTTGCCTATGGCCTATTGGGAAAGTGTTTCCATTCTTGACATCCTTGGGACCATTTTGGAGATTTAGCTGATTAAGTTCATATTCATCTTTGTTTTGTGTAGGTATTCTGTTACCTTAGCTATTTCTGAAATATTTCTCGAGAAATTAATATCTATTTCACTTTCGTGTATTTTTCTTACATAAGAACTTTTACTTTTTGGTGGCACTGCTGGGGTTTGAATGCTAGGACTAGGTGCTGTCTGTGAGTTTTTTTTGCTCAAAGTTAGTGTTCTACCACTTGAGCCACAGCTCCATTTCCAGCTTAATTTGAGGTAAGAGTCTCAGGGACTTTGCTGTTCAAGCTGGCTTCTAACCACAATCCTCATAGCTCAGCTACCTGAGTAGCTAGGATCACAGGCATGAGCCATGGGCAAAGGGCAAGACCTTTTTAAGTACTTTCTGAAGCTAGTGTTTCAGTTTCCTAATTTATAACTAGCAAGGAAATAATGAATCTTAAGTATGCTTTATGAGTCCCTTTAAATGAATTATTAGTAGTTGTTGTTTTGTTGGTTGTAGGGTTTGAACTCTGGGCCTGGGCGTTGTCCCTCAGCTCTTCAGCTCAAGGCTAGCATGCTACCACTTGAGACACTGCACCACTTCCTGTTTTCTGAGTGGTTTATTGGAGATAAGAGTCTCACAGACTTTTCCTGCCTGGGCTGGCTTTGAACACTGTGATCCTCAGATCTCAGCCTCTTGAGTAGCTAGGATTACAGGCATGAGCCACTGGTGCCCAGCAAATTATTAGTTTTTATAGCTACAGATTTACTTCTGAACATCTTAAGATAACCTATAGGAAATGTATTACTATTGACAAGTTTATTTACTAAATATCAGTCATAGGTATAAATTGGTGTCGATAAGCCTAAATAAATATTTTGTATGTGTTTGATTTGTTTCATGTCAGAAATAGTATTATATTATGACCGTAATTTGTAAGTAATGGGCTGTTTCAGGGCTGGGAAGGTGGCTCAATGGTAGAGTGCTTGCCTTGCATGCATGAGGCCCTGGGTTCGAGTCCTCAGCAGCACATAAGCAGAAAAAGCTGGAAGTGGCACTGTGGCTCAAATGGTGGAACACTAGCCTTTAGCTGAAGAGATCAGGGACAACACCCAAGCCCAGAGTTGAGGCCCCACAACCTACCAAAAAAAAAAAAAGCACTGTTTCAATAGCTTCTTGTGGTTTATAATTTTTTTAAGTACTTTGTTTAATACTCAAAGCAGTATTTTATTGTAGCTGTTGCAGGTATAAGTCTCCATTTTACAGATGAGAAAACTGAATTTAAGAGATTAACAGGGTTAGGCTGGGCACTGGTGGCTTATGCCTGTAATCCTACCTACTTTGGAGGCTGAGATCTGAGGATCATGGTTCCAGCCTGGGCAGGAAAGTCTGTGAGACTTTTTTTTTGCCAGTTCTGTGGCTTGAGCTTGAGATCTGTGCATTGCCCCTGAGCTTCTTTTTGCTCAAGGCTAGCACTCTACCACTTGAGCCACAGTGCCCCTTCTGGCCTTTTCTGTTTATCTGGTACTGAGGAATCAAACCTATGGCTTCATAAGCCACATTCTCAGCCCTGAGACTCTTGTCTCCAGTTCAACACCCCAAAACTGGCAGTGGAGCTGTGCTTCAGTGGTAGAGCACTAGCCTTGAACAAAAGAGCTCAGGGACAGCACCCAGGTC